AGTCGTAGAAAATGTAATAGGAATCGATACAGTACGTACGAACTTAACATACAGAAACACAAATAATTAGAATCTACAAAACAGTGTATGAACCGGAAAAAATATATTTATAATACTTTTAAAAATAAAAATGCTACCGGAAGGAAACAGAGAGGAAAAATAAGACAGAGTATAATTCCGTTTTAATATTCCTTTTAACACACCCGTTGTATAAAAAAATTATAAAACCTATCTACGTACTTAAAGAATTTAAAATTAAGCTTTAAGTTTTTGTACACCTACGTTCTAAATTTTAGTTAGATATTCGCAAAAACTGGTGTAAAGCACGAGTGGGCGATGAAATTTTCTGAATTAATTAATTATATTAACATAAAATATAATTTGCCAATTTACAGTATATTAATAAAGCAGATTGATTAATGTAAAAATAAAACCTATATGGTAAATACTCATTTGGTTTCAATTGATTTATTTATTCCAAATGTGTGAACCGAGTCAGCTGTTACCAGATTTTAAAATTAATTAAAAACTTCTTGAACATTGTATAAATTAGTGGAATATTTCCTAGCTTATCACTTATTCTGAACAGTTTTAAAAGTTTTTCACTTAAGATGTTAGTTTATCGCTTTAATTCAAGAAAACTTTCCAAATTTCCAAATTATTACTGCGTCGTCGAATATTTTTTTCCAAATCGTGACAAGCCAAACACCTAGCACACCTAGTCTTCAAAACAGATTCATTGAAAACTCTAATTAAGTCTAAGCTTTTTCAACTTTTTCTGCTAATTAAAATATTTAATTTTGCTGGTGAGTATTTAAAAGGCAAATGCATTTCATTATTCAAGTTAATTTAAATGACTCTTTCACATCAACGAATTACTAAGTTTTACCAAATGATTGTACTTACAATTTTTTTCCTGAAGTGATCCAAAATCGTTGTCGTTCGTTCGAATTAGTAAATGCCAAATTAAACTTCAATTGTTCACTCCGATAAGGGCGAAAACAGTTAATACTTTTAATTCGAGTGTCCCCTTTCCAAAATCAACGGGTGAACGACTTGAAAGTTTAAAATGTACTAGCTAAAAATACATCCAGACACATTCAAGTAAGGCTCGTTTAGAATCGCCATTACTGCTCGTTTAAGCCCACGTATGTTTTGACTTTGATCAGGGGTTGCTAAAATTAGTTCCAATCAGCGTATCGAAAGCTCTTGAGTGTTTTTTTATTTAAATTTGGAAGCGCGGAATTACTTGCAAGTTCGTGGTTCGATCCGCGATTTTCGAATACTTTGTCACAATGCTCAACTTTGTGCCAGTAACAATTCAGGCATATTACGTACTTTTTAGACGATTGCTATTTCGGGATGTGCTCGTCAGCATCTAAACAATTTTGAGAAAGTACAATAAGTCAAGTTTGAAAAGAAATAAAAATTCGGATGCAGTGGTGGTTAACAGAAAGCTCGAATTTTCACAGGATATAAACATGAAAGTTATAAAAAGAGCAATTTTACACGACAAGCTTTGGTAAATGAATTAAATTTTCTGCTGCTAAAATGATTACAAATAGCGCCACGGACTTACTGCTTGCAGTATTTAACAATAAACGAAAAATTTTCTTTTGTGATTGAAAATTATCATATGCACGTATTGATAAAGACGACATTTCATCATTTGTAAACCACATTTATAATTAATACGTTCTAATCATAAATTAACAATAATTATTGATAGAAAATGGAGGTAAATTTGATTTAATCAGTGAAAATATTTTTTGTAAGCACCGAAGCGGCAAATATTAGCAAACAAGAGCACCAATTAAATCTACTCGTATATCTTGAAACACTAAATTAAATCGTGTGTTACACAAGTCGAAGCATCAGTTTGTTCTAGAAGCAGCTACAGTTTTTTATGTTTTAAGTAGAAAAAAATTAATACAATAAGAACCGAAATATACAGGGTATTTCACGAGTGATAATGAGCCTAACCACATTTAAACTGCAGCCAGCAATATATTTGCATAGGCTTCATGGATTTTGATTATGAATTTTAAAAATAATAAAACATAGTTATCGTGTAACTGACACAAAGAAATTGACAAGAAAGGAAACACAGTTTTTAAGGTTATTGTCTATCTACCATTGGAAAACACTTTCAAGCCTTTTTGGAGCTTTTCTATACAGGAAACATTGTCTTTACAAAGGTTCAACGGCAGAAGCATTTTTTCCAAATTCGCCATAAATGAGAATCAGATCTGTTTTCTCATCGTTCGAATGCATTTTGAAATTTTTCTAATGTCAGTTGTGACATGGTTGTGACAAATAAAATTATGGAAGCAAAGCTATCGTGGATTCATAATTCGGTTTTTCAAACAATGCGATATCTAAAATATCCACGTTAACTTTGCAAATGTATTGTGGGTTGTATTTTCAATTCCGTCAGGCTCATTATCACTCGTGAAATATCCTGTATATACATATACAGAGTGTCCCACGTAAGACTTTCGGATCTATCCCTGTTATTTGACAACGGATTTTTATAAAATTTAAAATGTAGACAACTTAGAAGGTGGAGATTCAATTAGTTTTAATAAAATTTCCTCGGATAAAAAACATAATTTTAACACATACCTATTTTTTCAATTTAAAATTAAGTAAATTGGTAAGCCCAATAAATGCAGTTCCTAAATTACGTTAACTTTTTGAAGTTAGGTGACCAAAATTCGGTAATATATCGCTCTTTTATTATAGCTGCCCATGTTTTCCCACATTCCACACAATTTATTTTTTTTTTCTTGTAAGCGGGACTTCTTTCGAGAACAAATTTTTGCTTATAGCATTTTTTATTAGCGATTAATAATTTGATAGAAATTTTAAGTAATTTAGCATTTTTAAAAGACATGTGAAAATCGCATTTTAAAGGCTAGGGTTGTTTTAGTAATGCGATATTATTCTCTAACTACTAAATAATCTACGTTTTAAATTTCGTTCGAATCCGTTAGCAAATAACAGAGATATTAGATCCGAAAATCTTAGGTGGTATGTACACCCTGTATACATATAAAATTAGTATCGATAATGCTCGTACCAAGTAACAGTTTTTAAAAACTAAAAAAACAATTTTTCAAGAATTTCTATTACACTCAAAGTGTATAGCAAAACCCAAGAAACAATTACTAGAATCAAAACTCTTGGAAGCAAAAATGTACAAACAGAATTAACCTTTCATAAAAGTGCATGAGAAAGTAAAAACAATATGTTGTTTTATGTTATAGTCCAATTATTTATCAATTGTTACCGTCCTATAAATATTGTTCAATTTGAAACACAAATTTTCAAATCACTAAAACGCCTGTGCAAATGCAATGTTTCTCCAACAAACAAGTGAATTAAATCCTAATAAAAGCACTCCTAAAGCAAATATCCGATAATTACCTTAATCTCCATCAGTATTTTACATTTTTTTTCCTGTTTACTAATTTCAATAAAATTAAAGCAAGCAATTGTTAAATAATCGATTAAGCAGGCCCACTTTCCAATTTTTGTCCAAGTCCGATTAATTATCAAATACTTTTTATACTAAATTAGGACTTTTAAAAATGTATCATGGCAATTTAATAATGTTTAAACTTTTAAATTCACTCCAGTAAAAATGTAACTTTAAAAAAGAATTTTAAAGTCGTGCTTATAATTTTCACGCATGATTCTATAATTTGATTGTTGATATTATACTGGCTAGGTTTTTCTTATGTAAAAAATAATTAGAATTTGATAGATGTTTTTGCTTTTTAGTTACCGTGAGTATACGAAGTAAAAGTAAAGTAAGATAAAAATTATTTTATTTTCATTTTTTGTCTTGTATGAATTTTTTTTATTAAGGATTTTACGTGTTAGTTAGAAGTCGTCGTATATAATATTGTCATTGAAAATGTATACCTACTCGTACCTAATTTGAAGACTACACAGTCATCATAAAGAACACTAAAGCAAAATAACCATTAGTCAGATGCCGGATTCAAAGAACGAAAAAAGGACGTGTTATTAAAGTCCCCAATAAAACGTCCTGAGTGTCTTCGTAGAAGAGCGAACATCTCCGTTCTTTCCCTATGTACTTGTCAATTAGACTGAAAACGTGCTCTAGTGCACGTATGGCTCATGAAGAGGGCTTTTGTGTCGATTATAATTGCAAAGTCACAAGCCTGACTTGTAATTATAGGTATCTGGAATGTTTGTATTGTACGACTGCGTCCCAATTGAAAATAATAGCTCCAATATCTCGATCCTACAGCTTTAAATGGATCCTCCCAAGCACCATTGTTGATCAATACAAAATTGGTAGCTTTCAAATTAATTGCATCGAACGACTACATCTTAAGCGAGTAGTTAAAAATAAAAAAAAAAACACAAAAGTGGATCATCAAAAATTAGTGATGCCGTTATTAACAAGACTCGAATCAATAGGTGGTAAAAAAGTTTTCAATTTAGAGAATCTTAAATTTTTTAATAGGTATGCGTTCTTTACAGTGCGCATTATTTGATTGGATATTTAAGTACAACGAAATAAGCAGATGAATAAACATTTATGTGACATAAACACAAGTACCAGCAGATATTACAACAATATTGTTGCTGTCTGTTAATTTTGTTTGTTGATGCTACATTTACATTTTCACTCGGAAATGATGAAGCCAAAGAACTATCGAATAGTCATGGCTATTGACTGTAGCAAACCGATTCTGTTTGCTTTACATTAATTAAGATTTTTTACAAAAAACATCATAATTAAGACTCTTAGAACTGAACGTAAGCATTATTTTTTAACTTTTCAATTTACTATAGCTAGTATTGATTTTGAAGGAATAGTTTTAATTCGGACCTTTTGATAAAACGGGGAGAGATAAGGGTTACACTCGAAATTGGTAAAGGGTCAATCGCATAAAACACCAACAGGAATTGTGGCGCTACTCCAGTGGTGGTTCGTGATGTTTCAGCAAAATTGTACACACCTACCACTTCCTACGCCTTCGGCAATTGAATCGGCCTGCTGATTTAACCCGGATAACACTCGGTAGTAGGCTTTACCATCTTCAACCAAAGAATCTGAAAAAACAGATGCAAAGAAATTTATTAATTATAAATAATTACAAAGATGCAATAAAGTTCTTTTAGCAATGTGATCAGAGGCTATCATAGAGTGCAACAATTTCATTCGGTTTAAATATTCTATTTATAAAGTTATAATTATGATTAACACAAACAAGTCTGTGTTCGATTTAGCAAAATCAGTCGCTAATCACGTTGTAACTATTTGAATGAAATTTATGTTTAAAGAGCTTTTGATAATGTGATTTTACCTGAAGTTTGTAAACTGATTACGATAATTACGAGTTGAAGTTTTCATTTGTGAATAAAGAGCATTTAGGCTAATAATAGTTGTGTATCAGTTAGCATGCAAATAATTACAGACCATAACATATTAAAAGGTAATAAGTAATGGAATGGCAGAGTCCCAGTACGGCTCACTAACTTATTCAAGTGATAATTAACTCCTAGTTCAAAAATCTATCAATACTATCGGTAGCAGAATAATTATTTATACCTTTCACCGCCACCGCCCGTGAAGACTCTCTTTTCACATCGCTTCAGGTGTTCTCGCTTTGTAACGAAAATTTGTTGCTTATGATTTGCTCAAAAAATTTTCACCCATTAATCACCTAATATTTTAATAGCTGATTTTAATTAAATAATTACCGGCTCTCTTTCGGACAGCAAAAAGAAATATTCAAAATGAAGCGTCAACCCGAAATAAATTACAATCAAAATTCCATTAACCGAGTAAACAAATTCCCCGAAATGAAATTAAGAATAAATTGGATCAAAACGGAGAAACCTTACAATTCGAGACACTCGTTCGGCTTAATTAAAATGTATCGGTAGTTTAGTGAATTTATCACGGCCATGTTGTGTCTGTTGAAACGACCTTATCAGCCTAGGATTTGATAACTTCCCACCCTCAAGCCACGAACACATTAAAAAGCCGACAAAGTTGCCTTGAGATATTCCGGGGTTTCTAGTAGTGTCAAGGGACTAGCTGAAATCATAAAAAATCTTACCACCCTTGATCTACGAGCCCTAGCAGGTGTTTTTTTTTTCACCCTCGACTGAGCGATTATTGCAGAAATAAAAAACTAAGACCCATAAGATATTGGTTTTAAAATAAATCTTCATTAAATGCGTGGATTAAGCCGCTGATTGATTGATTATTATTTCAAAGCGATCGATCAAATCTTGAAACTTTATCTATTCAAAACTCTGATTTCTGTTTAACATGATAATTTATTTTATTTATTTTTTTGTCATTAGATTGCTCTAGAGTAATGTTGACGATTGTAAATTATTATATTATACTATACTAAACTGCTTTAATAGTTAAAAATCAGGGTGTAAAAATCATTAAAAATAAATACAACAAACTTTTGCTTCTACAATGTTCGAATTGCTTTATTGCAAAAAAAAATATTATAACAAATCGGAAAGTATTTACAAAATTTAATACGACAAAAATCTACTTTACGTCAATTTTATACCATTCTGATCATCATGTTTTTCTCAAATATTTATAAAAAGCTAAAAGTAAAACTGGTACAGTTTTATTAGTTTATAGCGAAAACATAATTATTTATTTTTTCTCTGATTTTAAAAGAATAAATCTTTACTTCGTAATTTACCTATTCCGGTAAATTTCATTATATAACACAAACATATACGGCATAACCTGTGTTTTACCTGCATAAAAGACCTAATAAGCCAGGTTCATTTGTTATTCCAAACCATAAAATAACTTAATCAGCACATGTGTAACCTAAACAACTGGGTACTAAAGTGGGTGGTTATAAAAAATGTGCGTAATTTAATTCGCAACATAAGCAAGCAGCAACCTTATTCGCAGAAATTTTTATTTTAAATTAACTAGCAATCTTGCTGAAAATTTATATTTTACATGCGAGAAAATTTCCTTTTGTGTGGTTTCATAAAAACGAATGAAATAACATTTTTCATTTCCAAAGAGTGAAAAAATAAAATATGGGAATCTGCATATGTATATGAACTTTTACAGCGTGATAAAAATTTGATAAGTTAAAAAATATTTTATGCATTTTTCACACCACAAAACTGAGAAAGTAATAAACGAACTGACGGGCAAAAGATATGATTCAGTGTAAACACTAACACTTTAGCATTGATTTCTTTGTAATTCTTGTTGTATATTTAGACCTTATGTTGATAATTATAATAATAGTTCCTTACTCTGTAATTACAAGAGGTTGTTGTTAAGTTTTTGTAGTAGCACTTTTCTTGGTAATAGTGGCCGCTACCTTTGAAGACAAAGTCATATTACGGAAACATAGACTCGTTAATTTTTTTTTTTAGGTAAACACCAAAGCAGATGTTTCTTATCACGTAAAGTTAATTGCCGCCGTAACCCAGTATCAACTTTCATTCTGTTTGTATTTGTCGATTTAAAACCTTTATATAAACGTATTTATCATTATGTCGGTAGATCTGGGCGTAATTTTACGTGGAATAAAAAAGATGTCAAACTGGGTTTCTTTGGAACATAATATGTTCTGATGTTAGTTTATGGTTTCCTGCTAAGACTTCTATTAATTTTTTGTCCTATACCGGTCCCAAGTAACAGTATATGAATTTCTAATAGGCCATTATAAAAACGTGGGCATATAAGGCATAAACGAAAGTAATTAAGCGTCAAGGGAAAATATAATTCCCCGATAATCGACTACAAACCGTAAAAAATCGTCTTTTCAATATTTGATAACTTTTCTGAAAGGGTAACTTTAAAACCAAGTTCCTTTTTCCAATGGTTTGAAAAGTGAAATTCACCAAATTTATCGCTCCAGTTGGAAAAGCCAATAAAGTGAAATAAAGCGAGTATACTTGCAACAAATTTGCACGTGAAGTTGACATTTAAGCTGAAATTTATTGGACACACTCTTGCGTATAAAAATTCCTGAAAGCGACTTGCACTAGAGCTTTTATAAGATACACTCGGGGACCATGTTGCAGGAAGCCCCTGGAATGTAATAATCTTTCGCGAGGTTTTCTCCTGCGTGCTGAACATAATGTGTTTTAATAAATTCTCCACAAGGACAATTATTGTAATTCTGTAATTACTTTGATGTGAGATTACAAGGTGACCGTAAATAATTTGGATATTAAGCCACGAATTAAAAAAATATGTGGGGCAGTGCTCGAGGATGTTTCTATTCAGTTTATCTGGTAATTGGATATAACAAAAGGCAAAAAAATTGTGGCGCAATCTGATTCAGGTGTCATTAGCAGTATGATGCCAGGTAATTTCTCTTGTCTTTGATTTTAGTTTTAATTTTCGCTCAGGATTTTATCAACAAAGTAACAACGAAACCGCAAAATTTTTAATAGACGCTTTTTAATAGACATTGTAAAAGTTATTGCCTTATTTTCAAAGAGTACTACATTAGTTTAAGAATGTGTAAATTTATGATCATATGCTATCAAAGTCAGGGCATTGTAAAGGCATAACGGATACAAAGAACGGCGTTTTGCACAGACCGTTTAAACTCTTTCATGAGATGATCGTAATTTTCTTTATACAAGTGGGTACACTTTTATTCCGCGATGATCGATATTTGAAACATTGAGAATTAGAGAAATCCTAATAAAATTAAATTTTTCACTTTTAAAATTTTAAATATTGTTTCAAATACAATCACTTTACCGTTAATATTTTTTGTTTAAAACGTTAACACAGTGTTTTGCTAAAAATTTGGACAATAATCAGCTGGTGTGAGAGTAAAACGAAAAAAATTAATAAATTTTGTTTAGTAGGCCAACTCTACTTATTTTAGACTGCTGTTAATTCTTCTTATTGCAAACCTGCTGAAATAATCGTTTAGATAAAAAAAATGTGCACAATATTTTGATCGTAAAACTTTTTGTTTCAGACAATTCACAATTTTACAATACAAAATAACAATACTTGAGAGGGATCTTGCAAAAGATTTGTGGAAAAGTCAAAACTAACATGCAAATTAAAAAAACGATTGCAATCGGATTTTCCTTGCTAAAAATTTCAATTTACAACTAAATTTCATGAACAAGTAATTTAAGGGTATTAACAAATTTAATGATGTTTGATTAGTTGTAAAACGCCTTTAGTTCAACTTAACGTAAGTCACGTAAGGGAAATTAAGAGTACCTCTTGGAAAAAAATTTACACATGCGTAACAGCCACATATAGGGTGAATTTCATTGATCCACGTGAGGTTGAGAATATATTAAGTTGGATTTAGGACGGTTTTCTGTAGTATAATTTTGCTGCTGAGCATATCCCACGATTCCTACGCTACCAAAATGGTTTAATGTTAAAAAAGTTAATGAATCTTCTAATGCATGGTTGACTTTCAATATTAATGAAACTTGTATGTAACATATGTGCACATATGTAAATAAAAAAGTGGTTTGCTTTCGAGGATTTTCATAAAATACTTTCAGGGTTAGCTGGCAGAAACCTATGCATAATCCATTTACACTTAGTTTAATACCAAGAGGTGCTTTGCTCATTTTTTAAATAAATCAACCTGAAAACTAAGTAACTACGTTAGGTGAAAGTTTTTTGGTTTAACAACCGGAAATATTGATACAATAAGGACTGTTGTTCCAGTTACTAAAACTAGATCTATTATTTCAATAGGAAAAAATTAGAAAGGAAATTGAGGAAACTGTTAAGAATAATCTTGGCTAATCATCATTAATTTTGGCTAGTCAAGATTAGAGTGTAAACAGCCGATTAAAACGAACATTCTCGTGCACACACAGTGGGCTGGAATGAATATTTAATAAAACTAAGTCCGGTGAAATTTATTGGGGTATTAGGATGTGTAGTCTCATTACGGAATAATAATAAAGAATTTATGTTAAGTCCAATTGCCTGCTGAAGATTTTGATCATTAGGTAGTTATAAATAAAACTTCAAAATTATTACAATAATGATACTTGATTATGAATAGGAAATGAAGAAGAGAGTCTTTATCATCAGACTA